AGAGAAATATTCTAAATGTGAAGGAGTTCAAATGATTAAGTGACAAACATGAGGGGATCTAGGTATAATTTATTAATTTAATTTTAGGTGCACATTGATAAAATTTCTATCTTTGAGGGTGTAAATTGAGATTTTTTATTTGGGGTGCACATTGATATAATTTCTATCTTTGAGGGTGCAATTAAAATTTTTGATTTTTGGGGTGCACATTGATATAAATTCTATCTTTGAGGGTATAAATTGAGATTTTTGATCTTGGGGGTACAAATTAATATTTGAACAATCTTTTAGGGTGCAAAATGAGATTAACCCTATTCTATTATATCATTTCTGCGATCAATATTTACAAATCACAAAAATCAAGATCTAAGGTTGAGATTCATCGAAAGGTTATGAAGTGTGGATCCTTATGTTTATTGCAAAATACACTCGACCCATCGGGTCAGTCCTCATTGGACTTTAGTAGATGCACTAGACCCCGGGCAAAAAGTAAGGCCCAAAAAGCATACTGGCTGGGCTAATGGGTTGCATACAAGCCCCCATAAAAAAAGAAAGATCAATAGCATATTCATCCATAGGGTATCCAATGGCCGCGGATCATAAGGTATCCAAATCTCTGCAAAATGCTGAAGCTCTACTCGACCACGGCCAGTAAGTCACCCGCTTTACAAAAACAGTGTTGGGTCTCTGTTCTCAAATCCACCTGATACAGGAGCCACAAGCTTCGTTGCACATTCATCCATAGATTTTTAGAAAGCTGATGATGATGAAGATGATGATAATTTGATATAGTAAACAGGAAAAAAATAGAACAGAAGCCGAACTTTAATCTGGAATCATAAAAGTAGAATATTGTATGCAAGGGAAATCAATGGTTATTCATCACTTCTTGGGATTGACAAGTGGATATACAGCAGATAACTAGGGGACCTTTGCTGGAAGAAAGCCCACGCAAAAGCAGCTAAACAAGGCTACAGTGTACATACACTGCCTCAGGATTGTGAACCCTTGACCACTAGATCATCCTGCACACTGAAATGTGATTCTCAAACTTTGATTACGATCAAATGTTGTTGACCATCCGACCTTTGACAACTCATAAAAATGTATCTAACAGAATAAAGATCTCTTCCCCACCCTTCCTACTTCTCTTTTTGGGGGACAAAGAAGAATATTACATCAATATTTTGCAACAAACTCATCTTATTCCGAATAGGACTTGAATCCAAGACCTTTAACATTAATCCCTAGGAACCAATCTGGACACCCACTACGATGCAAAGTTGGAGGTGTGGTCAGCACTTGTCCTCAGTTCTATTGGTTAGAATTGCTGGCTGCAAAGTATCTTTTTCTTGTTTGAAGATGTGTAGAAGTTTAAAGATGCACAAAGATGTATGACAGCTCATGTTCAGGGTTCCCTCTCCCAATAGATGATGAGTACAAGTTCTTCTCCCTGCACTCCCTAAGGTTGTCTTTCTTCCATACCAGTCTTCATAAGAAGTTACTAAACTAATAGGTTATCTTACTGGACAGATCAATAAACGGTAAAGAGGAAAGGAAAGCAAATGCACCGTACAACCCAAAATTTGATCACGCTTGCAACACAGACATATGCCTATTGGAAGGACAACATATCAATGACTTATGGCCTCTGGCAGTAAACAGACACAAGTGTGGTGGCCCCATGCCATCCAAGCCAAAGCCTAGAGGCACATTTGGAATGTCCTAGAGCAAGTCTGCATTCAAATGGCACTGTAATGATATTACATGCTACACAATTAAATTTTAGCTGAATTTTATACTGCATACCTCATAAGCATTTATGTCCGATAAAAGAACCTGCAAAAAAAGCATTGCATTTATCCATTAACAATCAGTACTTGAATTTCGTCCAATATTAGAAGTGCTGTCAAAACATTTATGAGCATACCTTCTTCCCAGCCTCCACTTCTCCAACCTCAGCACCAACAGAAAGAATCTGAAAGGAATAAAAGCAACAAATACATAGTCGTAAGTAATATTGGGAAGTAAAGAAAAATTGCATTATCTGTGAGACTGCTTAAGGACATGAGGTATATTGCTAGCCTCCCCCATAAGGTACCGCTCAAATTTAACTACTGATTTTGGGAGCAAAACTCCACCAGCTGATTTCTGTGCACCAAATTTTCACGCATCAATGTGACAGCTTCCAATGTGTGCATGTGGTGTATTCAGACATATATTTGCAAGTTCACAAGCTCCTTGGAGCAACTTAAATTTGGATTTCTTATGTCACAAATAATATGTATTGCATAACAAGTTCATATAGGACATATATAAGCCACACACCACGCTCTGGGATATTTCCCTATAATACAAGTTTTGACTATGTGGTGTGTATATTTCAAAAGAGGCCCATACACTTGCATTAATCAGTTTTTGTCCAAGAGTTCATAACAGCAGAATCAACCCGTGCATAAATTCTCTTTTGATGACACTTTTTCTGTTTCATTTTTCCTTTGTTTAAGTTATAATTAGGCATAGAAAATTGTGAGTATGCATAACAGCTCGAGCAGGTTTTGCTAACAATAAATTGCGCCAATTGAGCAGTTTGTGGACAAAGCACTAGGTTCAAGAATTGCAAGACTAGACAAAATTCACACCAATTCTTAAAGATTCAAGTGTACCATATTCAGTTTTAAGATCAACTTCAGGGAGTCAAACTGTGTTCAACCTGCACCAACAGCAGGTTGGGATGGTCCCAACGGTACTGGACCATCCCTGGCTCCAAGAACTAATGTAACATTTATCTAATATAGAAAAGGCACTTCACGGTACTTGATCAGAAGTACGTAGAGACAAACAAGAAGTAAGAATACCCATATATGAAAGAACGCAAACAATTCGTACAAAGTTGGTAGGAACCCAAAAAAAAGTCCAGAAAATCTAATGCCAAACGAACTCTTTCTCATGCTTGAAGGACCAGTTTCTAAGAAAATGTTTCAATAGCATCACAAAAAAACTGCTTTGCACATTTAAACTTCCATGTCTTGTTTAAGGAAACACACACGAAGGGTCTCCGTGTTTATCGCCAAAACTCACAATCTTTATCTACATTCCATGTCTTGTTTAAGGACCAAAACACAAAGGGTCTCCGTGTTTATCCCCAAAGCTTACAATCTTTATACACATTCTACATTTCTGAGCATACCATGATACAAAAAATAAACAATTTAAGTAATACGAAATAGAAAAAACTGATGGGTCTTTCGTCTAACGGTATTTCTTATCTTGCAAAAGGGGTCAAGGGTTCAAGTCTCCTTCCCTCTCTCCTGCCCCAAAAACAAATCATACAGGGAGACCAAAAAATAGACTTAAAACCAAATAAATTTCCTTGATAGATTTATCTCCAAATCTATATAATAAAATAGCTATCACTTTAAATTTTATCCCCATTATATTTTCCCTCTCAAAACTATCCCATCCAACCCAACCCCAACCCTAACCCAACCCAACCCAACCTAACCCAACCTGCAACACACAGAGCCGTTTACTCCCCGGCAATACAAAGAGCCAAAACCATCTCTTTTCTCTCTATCTCTTCACTCACTTTTCCAATTTCATGCCAACAGGTGGCGAGGGTCTCTTCACCAGTGGAGGATGCAGTATGGGGGCAGTTGTCCCCGCTGAAATTTTAAAAAAAATTGGGGCCTAAGTGTAATTTTAAAAATTTTAAGAATTTCTTAAACTTGTCCCATTAAAATTTTCTTAAAATATAGGGCATATTAATGTAATTTTCAGCTGCCTCCACTGAAAATTTAAAAAAAATTGGGACCTAAGTATAATTTTAAAATTTTCAAAACTTTCTTAAGGTTGCCCCACTTAAATTTTCTTAAAATATAGGGTATATTAATATAATTTTTAACCTAACTTTTAGGCAGCTACCCTTTTCACGCCCACCTTTTTTTTTTACCAGTAAGCCTTCACTTTGTCTTCTTCGAGAGAGAATATCAGTCTAGCGTCCGGCCCTCTTCTCTCTTTTATTTAATTTCTTTGTTACTTCTTTACTTTCTTCGGTGTATTCGTCAACAAATCAGTTTATTGGATTCAATCATTGTCCAAATCAAATTTGAAGAAATCCTAAAAGATTATGTTAAAGCTAAGGAGAAGTAATTCATTAACTAAATTTTTTAATAGTAGTATTAGCACTAATCTAAAATCAAATTTTTTATATTAGAAAATTAATTTAGTTTTTGTAGAATTGATAGTTGTTTGATGTATTATTTATGGACTTATATAGGTTTTCTTTGTTTCGTCTTGGGTCACCACTCAACTATTTTGAATTTTTGTTGAAGCCCCTGTTCAGATTGACTATATGAGATTTTTGGTTTGTGCTATTTTTTTTCCTATGATTAAATTGTTTTAATTGATTTTTTGAAATTCTAGTTTGAATTATATTTTGGATTTATGGATTATATTTTAATTGTGTGTAGCCCATTATCTGATTTGTTACGAACTTAATGACAAACTCTTAAACTTGAATGTAATTAGACAAATTTATTTTTCAATCAGCTATGGATAAGTTTCTTATAAGAAAATCAACATTGGAACAACCTTCTCCTGGTCAAGAAATAGATGATCGTGGTGGTGACATACGACATTGTTCTAATCAAAGTCGTGAAAGAGTTAATTTAGAAAATCTTCCAGCGGATCCTAGGCTAAGAATTAAAATTTAGGATTATCATCCTAATGACCGGGATGAAATTCAAAGAGCATATCAACAAAAAAGCCCATGTCAACCCCCGTGAACATAATTTTCTCCAAACGAAATTCGACAAGCAGTGTCGTCGCTTTAGTCCATCTTGGTTCAACGAGTTTGGTAGTTAGTTGGAATATATCATTAAAAAAGATATCGTCTATTGCTTATGTTGTTATCTAATGAGAAGTGATATGAGAGAGCAAAAGGGTGGTGACTCTTTCGTTATAGAGGGTTTCCGTAACTAGAAGAAGAAAGAAAGATTTAAAATTTATGTTGGGGGTCCAAATAGTGCTCATAATGAAAATTGGAGAAAGTGCCAAAATCTAATGAATCAGAAACAACATATTGAAGTTGTTTATTCTAAGCAATCAAATCAAGCTTGAAAGAAGTATCGAGTTCGTTTAACTGCAACAGTTGATTGTGTTTGATTCCTTTTATGTCTAGGGTTAGCATTTCGTGGTCATGATGAGTCTGAGGATTCAAAAAATCAAGTCAATTTTCCTGAACTTCTACGATTTCTTATCTTAGCAGTTGCCACTACAACCGTCGAAAGAGTATTTTTAGCAATGAACATAGTAAAGAATCGATTGCGCAATCGAATGAAAGATCAATGGATGAATGATTGTTTAGTTGCATATATTGAGAAAGATGTTTCAAGTGTCATTGAAAATGAAATGATTATGCAACGGTTCCAAAATATGAAGACTCGTCAAGAACAATTATAAGGATTTATTGAACGTTCGAAAGTTGAGAGCTCCTTTTGTATAGAATCTCAAACACTAAAAGATACTTTTGATGTGAAGCTTTTTTGTTGTCTGTTTTTTTATATCACTCATATACATGAGTTGCACCTCTAAGTGACATTTTTTTAATGTAACTATGTTTATAAACAATTTATCAAGAATACATATTTTGATGAAAACAATGTTACAGTTATACTTTGAAAATTAAGAATTTAGGTTGCCCTCACTAAGACAAAATCCTGGCTCCGCCCCTGCTCTTCATTGCACAAACACCCTCCCCATCCCGCGCAAACACCATCCCCTCACCACCTCCTCTCTCTCTCTCTCGCAAGCCCCCAATAGCGCCCAACCCCAACAACGTTCCAAGTATCTCTTTCTTCCCTTCTCTCTCTTCTCACACCCAAAGCCCATCCTCTATCTTGCTATCCCCAGGTTCACAGAGCCCAACCTTCCTCTCTCTATCTCTCTCTCTCTCTCTCGCCTATAACCTATTGGACGAAATTCCCCAAAAGAGCTTGAGTAAAGGTTCTCTAGTGTATCATATTTCTCTTTGCATGACATTTGGATTATTTATGCGTTTAGCATTTGCTCCCCATAAGATCTTAGTAGCATTGCGTTTATGCATTTTTTCCTGGCTTTTAATCACTATCTTTCATTTCAAGACCACCACTCAACCACACTACAGAACCACATGAGCATGTATCACCTCTACCCTGAACCACATCGGTTTCTATACCGTGAATTAGAGTCCTATATCGTGCTTCCCCATCGGTCTTTCAGGTCAACTTTAGCCCCTTTTTCGAGCAAGAAATGAACCACATGGTCCACATTAGTAAACCCCTAACAAATCAACCAAAATTTGATAGAGATTTTAGTTTTGGTTTTCATTATCTGCATTGATACAAAATCAAATAGAAAATTTCATTAGGAGGTTTTAGTTTTGGTTTTTATTTATCTATTTCATCAATTATGGCCACCCATACTTTCTCTCAAAATTGGAGGTATCATCTTTCAAATAGAAACCATCTTCTCTTACTGACCAGTAGTAATTCACCGTATGAGCATTCTTTCTTCCACTACTTTAAGATTTTTGTACTATGTCTTGCTTGAAGCTGTTTGAAACCATAGGTGCTGATCTATATCAGAAGCTTTTATTCTCTAAAGTACTTTCAGACAAGGAAAAAATATCATTAGTGAACTATGTAGTTAATCTGTAACACTAAGCTTATTTCTTATTTATTGAGATTTTTTTAATATGTCTTGCTTGAAGCTGTTTGAAACCATGGATGTTGATCTATATCAGAAGTTTTTATTCTTTGTAGCTAATCTGTAACACTAAGCTTTTATCACACAGTTTTTACATGCATTTTGCTCTTGGGTTGTATTTGAGTCATTTTACATCTTATTTCTCATAGAAAATTTTCATTGCCGAAGTAGCAAAGGCTGCTGCATAAGGAATATCTTATGGAGAGTTTTACTCATGGTTGTACACTGCTTTGGCTGCAACTCAAGCTCACACACACACACAACAGCATAATGTGAATTCCATTCTCTTGGAAAGGATGTTATTCTCTTGGAAAGCACACACAGAGCAACTGCTGTTCATAGTTTTTTTTTCATAGTGTATTTTTTTTGGTTGATACATGTAGTTTATATGCGGTATTGATTTTTCTACTTTAGGTTTGTCATTACCAGCTGTTCTGTGGTGGTGGTGTTCATAGTTATATTTGTGCTCTTATTAAGCTGATTCTTTGTATATTCATGAGGCTTATGCATTTTTTGTTGCATATTCATGGGGCTTGGCTATTTATGGACTGATTCGAACAATTTATTTTGCATTGTTGGAGGTTAATGAGACATGGGTAGGCTTGGGTTACTCTAGAAAGGCGTGGGTTCTACAAGAGCATAGAGGTCAGCTCTCTTTTAAATCTTTTCCAGTTGCTTGCTTCATGTGGTATACATAGATAGGTTAAAGACATGTGTTTTTAAGATGATTATATAAAGGTTTGGATTTTGAGGTGAGTTTCTTCTTGAAAACTAAAACTAGCACAACCAGTTCCTTTCCTTTTTTAAGTTCCTTTCTTTTTTTTAATTTCCGTGACAAATTTTTTATTTTGTTTATTGATGATGCCACCAGTCACGGGAAGTCGATTGTCATCCCCCAAGGTAACAATTTTTTTTTTTGATTTTTCTTAATTTTTGGAGGAAATTTACATTCTTGGTTTATAGTTTTTGGATTTTTTGTTTTATTTTCATGACGAATTTTGTATTTGTATGTTTATCAAACTGAGTTGTGCTTCTCTGAAAAAAATTTACATTCTTGGTTTGTAATTTTTGAGTTTTTTTTTATTTCCCTGATGAATTTTGCATTTGTATGTTCATCAAACTGAGTTGTGCTTCTCTGTATATCTTTTTCATTTGTTCGCATGGTTGAAATTGAATAATAGATCATTATTGCTTTGGTACATATCTGTTCAATGCTATTCAAAAGTAGATTGAGTGTTCTACCAGGCACACCCTCGAATTGATTGATTGTTGTTTCATTGGTACCATTGAGGTTACCTACCTTTTTGCTCACAAATTGTGCTTATTCAATTTGTTGTCTTATTGTCATTCCTTTGCCTTGGTTTGTGTGAAATTTAGAATTTAAAACTTATGTTAGTTGGTATTGTCGTAGACCAAGAACGGGTTCTATGAAGCTACCTTGCTACTCAGGTTGTGCTTCTTTATTTTGTTGTGTTTGACTTTTTATGTTGACCATTTGATTTCATACTTAAATGATGATCTACAGGGTACTAATATACCTATTTGTTGTCTCTTCTGTGTACACTATTCCATGTAAAGTCAGGAGCTTTTGTCCTGCATGTTTGAGCAAATAAATCAATTTTTGCCATTAAAAGCAAGTGAAAGCCTCTCAAAATACTGTGTTACACTTGGACTCAAAATTTTTTGCCAAGTGAAATTCTTACTTCATGTTTTACGTGCAAGTTCAGCTCAAGGGCTGTTTGATTAAAAAAATTCAATAGTTTTAAGCATGAAATACCTACTTGCATTGTATTCTCTTGGACTGATTCATGTGTGAAAAATGTTATATTATTAGATTGTTTGTGGTTTTCTTTGACTCAAAATTTGATTGTTTGATTTAATAAAATTGATCGTTAATTATTTACCATTTAATTTCACAATCTTTGTAAAGGGCTTGTATGTTGAACAAATCTTAGATTTTTCAGGTATTTTTGAGTCAAACCTTAAATTTCATGCGATTTGCCACAAGCACAGGATAAATTGAACAAATCATCTTAATTTGTTTCAGTTTTGCATAGATTTTGGACTTTTGTTGTAGCAATTTTTATATGGGAACTGATATAGATGTCAATTAAATGTGTGCGTTTGTAATTGTGGGTTAAATTTGATATATATGGATTTATATGGATAAAGTTGAACTTTCTTCTATTGTTGATTTTATTATGTTGTTATGGTAGTTGACAAATGATTTTGTTATGGTAGAATTGGGGTGTGATATTGAATTCGAAAAATGAATTAGGTCATTGTTTCTTTAAATTCACGTGTTTCTTAATAATAAGTAGATTTGTACTAATTATTAGTCATCCGTCAGTTCAGTGCTTGATTATTTTCGCGTTCAAATTCAATATTCAATTTTTTTTTAGTTGCACCGTGCCTTCAGGCACGGGTTATCCCTAATAAGTTAATATAGGAGGACCGGCCTTCCAATATTCCTATTTTCTTGAGTGGGTTTCTTGGGTGGGCACAGCTGCAAAGCTGAGCTGAGTACTTAAACCAAAAAATAAAAAAATACTTGTAGTTAATAATTTTTTTTCCCAGGGTGGGCAAGTGCCCCTCCTGCCCACATCTACCTCCGCCCCTGGCTGTGTAGAGTGTTAAGAGGGAGAGCTTGGCCTTAGGTTTCTTCGTCAGTGTTCTAGAGAGTTTGGAGATTGACGCCGAGTTGATGTTGCTTACAAAAGAGGTAACTAGATCGTAGCTGGATATATGGCTTAGGGTCGGTTGGGTCATGTTGTTTTTCTAATTTTTTTTTAAGGTCGAAACGAGATTCGAATCAACCACCTCAAAATTCAGTAGCAGAGATAGAGGTAGAGCCAGTGGTCATTAAACCAACCACTAACCTCAATCAAGTCATATTCATTAGCCAATTATTCTCTATTTTTTTTGGTAAATATTGCATTTGAGTGAGTCCTATTGTGTGTATACGTGTCTTTCAGTCGTTAATAAAGAATAATTTGTTACAAAATAAAGAAAAAAAAAGTATTGAAGACCAAAATCTGAATCCGTTTGAATAAGTGATTGAAATGTGTTTATATTTTTCCATAGACGATAGAATATTGCCAAGAGGGCACCAATGTTCACCTACAAAACTCTTCAATTTTTGAGTCCTTAATTAATTGATAAAAAAATTCTTATTAAGTGATATTAATCACAATATAAATGTCCAATATGTATAATTTATTATCTATACTACTAATAGAATGAGAGATGAATTTAGTGTCCTCCATTTTTATTGGTAGTTCTTAATTATTTATTATAATTATACTTAATATCCATTATTTCTTTTTAAATAACCTTTATTTTTTCTTTTAATCATACTTTACCATCTCATTTATTTATTCTAATTCATTCCAACTTCTATTTTTTTTCTTCTTTTTACCTATTTGCACTCGTGTGTATTTGTATTTTTGTACACGATTGTCGTGTGTGCACTGTGCACAACCTCTAGTTATTATAAAAAGAAAGGGAAGGATTTGGGGCATGTTTGATATGTTCTTCGTGCCCAAAATTTGGTTGATCTAATATTGTTGGTCTATAAATACCTTTACTAGTGGCTCCACCTATGCAATGCACAAGATTTACTGTTCATTTTCTTTTTTTTCTTCTTAAATATGTCTCTCTTTCATTCTTGTCAATTGAGATAAGATAAGGAAGTTATTAAAAATTACTAGATAGTAAAAATTGAACCCCTGACCTCAGGCAAAGTATTCGCAAGTCAAGAAGTACCATTGGACCAAAGATCCATTGGTAAGTGACGGATAATTAGTAGAGAAGATAGTTGGTTATAAATGACACAAGATAGAACATTACGGAAGAAACACGATTTTTAATTTTTTCACACTCATGTCTTTTTTTTTTCATAGGTTAGGGATGTTCGAGATAATTTTTACGTACATCAACTAATTCTCTCATCAGTCCGGTTAAAATCTGGTTATCCACGTCAGAATTAAAATATTCATAAAAGATAAATTCAAACTTAAAACATCTGAATTTGTATCTCGTCTCTGTTACCACATAGCTACCATACCATTTACAAGTCACGCACACAACTCTTCTTATCTTACCCTTTTGACATCACGCAAATGGGCAAGGCCACCTCTTACAAAACATATTAGTTATAATAGAATGATTGAATCATCTCAACCATATATCCAATGACCCAAATTAATTCATATTCTTAGGTCTGAATGAGATACATATGTTAGGAGAACTTCTAAGTCATCGTCGTCGGTATTGGTACAAAAAATTATAATTTTTTTGAGGTATAAGTTATAATTTCAAATGACATGTTCGATCATGAATGTTGAGGTCGATACCATATTTTTTTTGATCGATTATGGGGTCTCTATAATCGATCATAACCTCCCTTAAACAATTGTAAATTCTCTTTCTAAATTTATAATTTTATCGTATAAAATAATAATCAACGGTCCTAATAGCAAAATATATTTTTTGATACAGTTTCCCTATATTAGAAGGAGCTTTTATTTTCCCCATGCAAGTTCTTTTTAGTTGCTGTCAATTGTCCATTCTTCTTGGTATCCAAAGAGACAAAGACATAGGAGGGTCCTATCTACATTTTACAGCGTTAATGTTTTCTTTCAGTTTTGGTTTACAGCTTCATCTTGAAATAAGACTGAATGATGCTTCAAACCTTTTAAATAAAGTTCTACTTTAATTTATATTTTCAAGGATTAATTGCAACAGTGATCCCTATAAAATTTTTATTTTATCTTATTTTAATTTTTTAATTTATTTTTAAGTGTTTCCTGCACATAACGATATTTAAATTTTTAACGGTTTCATTTGGGAGCATATGGGAAACACATAAGTAAAAACCGTTAAGAATTTGAAACACTTAAAAATAAATTCAATACATCATGGATAAGTGTTATACAATTGTAACATTGAGACCAAAATGAGACAAAGTCAAATTTTGAAAACCGTCGTTGCAATTAGCCCTACATTAAAATAATAAATTGTTTACATTGTACTCTTATTCCAATACAAAAGTAATAATGTAGTTTGTTAGAGTATTTTAAACAAAATAGCTTTATTATTTGATTAAATATAGAAATAATTACGAAATATTAAACACTTATATTTTTTGTATATATATTTACATAGTTCAGTATAAAAATATACAATATGAATATCTACCATATTCTTCTCTACTACACAAGTTTTTGGTAAAATTAAAAGGTGTCGTGTAAAACTTCTGTTTCATTCGATTGTGCAGATCTTAGTAAAACAACAGTCAATAGACTGAGCTGTTCTATGTTGATTCTTGGGAACGATGCGTTGTTACTCTCTGCGCTGTGTTTCTTTCATAAAAAGACACGAATCGTTTTAAGATAACAACTTAATCCGCGTCTCACCCAATCGTATTCTTTATCTTTTAGATTCATTTTTTCTAACATTGTTTAAATCCAAAAGTTTTTTACTTTGTTCAACAAAATGTTAGAATTTTAATTGTTTAAAGTATAAATTAAATACAAAGTGACATTTGTCAAAATAAACAATAATTTTTTTTTTTTTTGGGTTCATCTCCAACAGTTTTCCCAAAAATTATGGGACATGGGGTTGGCCTATGGTTTTGCAACAATTCCACAGATCACTTTTCTACCTTATTTTTTTGTACACTATCTCAATATATATCATTAAATTAATAGATTTTATAAAATTTATTAAATATTTAATAATTTTAATTATATCACATCAAATAATTCAGATAGCGTAAGAAAAATAGTGCACAAATATGATGTGCATGTCATTATTCATGGTTTCGATATTGGCTGGACTTCTCAAAATTTGCACCATTTCTTGACAAAAAGAAATCAAAACACCGGCTATTGGGACCACCCACCTCTTCTTTTTCCCCTTAAATCTCTGCAACATCACTCAATCATGTGTGTCCTTTCTTGCTGACAACCCTTTTTCTATTGCTTCCCAGGAAACTTGAAACCCATTTCATATTCCCACTAAGACCAAAGTAATTTCACAGTTTTGAAGCAAAAGACCCTTTTCTGAACTTGAGTTTTTCTCTTCTTTTCCTTCCAATTTTCCGAGAATCTTTACAAAGAAAATCCACTAGGGAGTGTATTTGAGTTTTTTTCCATGTTGGGGGTGGGAGGGATGATGGTGAAGAAGCTTTGTTGCTTTAAGTGGGTTGCCCTCTGTAGTCTACTACTCGCAGCTGTTGTTTCCTCCAAGCACCATGGTAATGTATGCTTCAACTTCCTAATTTTCTTGGGTATCTCTTTCATTGTAGTATTTGCACTTGGAAAATACTGATTTGATTGTGTTTTTCTTTGAATAATTGTTGTCTTTGTTTTACTGATCAATTGCTTCCAAATGGTAGTATTGATTTGGTTGTTTTCTTCTTTCAATAGCTTCATTAGAAAAGAAAGTTTGGATTACTATCATAATGAGAATATACTCTCAAACTTGCAAGATGTTAGTATGAGAAACCTACAGTGAAAATACCCAGGGCACAAGACTCCTGCCATTGCTGGGTTTGGGGAGGGTTAGATATACACATCTTTACTTGCAAGTGGAGAAGCTGTTTCCGGGTTTGCCTCGAACCCGTGAACATGATTTTGCTAATTTGCTTTCTCATTTAACAAGCTCACACTTCATAAGTGAAAGAGAACCCAACCATGGAATGAGAAACATAGGAGATGTATATGATATATGACCAAGATGACAATTTCATTGTTTAGGCATAAACGGTGGGAGGGAAAACAATAGTAGTGGCAATATTGGTATCATCAACATGGTGCTCATGACATTTTTGGACAATATACTTGTGTGTGCTACATTTATCTACCCTGAAAATGTAGGGTATACATACAAAAGGATTAGGGATTGGGGGCAGGGGAGCTAGGGTGTTGTTGCTTAGGATTATAAACTTGTTTAACATAAAGAGGAAGCACAAGATGGAGGCATGAGTTGTTAAATGTTGAATCCTAGATGAACTGTTTGTCTTACCTGTTTGTCTTACCATGTGATGGGCCAGGCCCAACCCATGTTATAAGCCTGGTTCGAGCTAAAGACCCAATGTCAAGAGATCCAACTAGTCAAGCCCAAAGGAGTCTACACCCGGATAACCTTATCAAGATCAAGGAGCAGCAGGGGAACATGCATGGCCATTCAAGAGCCTCCTCTATCACCTTGGAGTAAGGGTCATCCAAAAGTCTCCTCTACCACCTTGGAGTAAGGGTCATCCAAGGGTCTCTACGCCACCAAGCGAGCATCCAGGAGCCTCACCCTCGCAGCCTAGAGAGAGTCAATCTCCCTCATCCTTGAACAAGTCCTTTGGAGAGCACACCAATCGTCACACCTTGCCCGTTGAGAGATGATAAGTCGCCTCCGCCAGATCAACTATCTAATTACTATCAAATGGTCCTAAGCCATTATGACCGTCAGACTAGTCATACAATTACTATACCAAACCACTATAAATTGTAAGCTCCCCCAACACTTAGGGGGCATCAAACTCATTTGAGCGTAATTCTCTCCTCTCCTCTCAAAGCTTATAATCATGTGCTCTCCCTCCACACCGGAGATAATAAAATTCCGGCAAACCTAGTCATTCAAAGTGGACGTAGGTCGTATTGACCGAACCACTATAAATCTTGTCTTCTCTCCCCTTCTACTTACTGCATTTTATACTATAACTTGACTAGTGGTGTGCAAACTAATTTGTGCATCATCACCATGGACCATCATAGGCCAAAATAGCATTGTTTGAGTGATGATAAATGGTAAAGGCCACCCTCATGTTAGAATAGTTATTATATTTAGACTTAGGAGTAGTTTAGTCATTGTTTTCTTTTATGTTGCCCTAGCTTAGTTTACTATATAAAGACCTCTTATATGTAGTTTTTCTTTAAGCTTTGTTCTGGCTAATTGTGTCTCAATAATATTCTCTTTTTTCTTCCTATTACTTTTCTTTGATTGATCAAAGTTAACACCTCATAGTTCCGGGGGGGGCGGGGGGAGGGAGGGCATTTTGCAAATGTGCTTAAGTCAGCTATGGAGTCACATATTTTACTATCCTTTCAACAGTTTTCTTTTTAATATAGATCTATCACTAGGCATTTGTGAAATTTAAAACCATGAATTTTAACTAAATCTTAAAAAACTGGATCTATGGATTTTTGTTATAAATTATATATGGGACTCGCCATATATGCAACCGAAGACTATCTCAAAAGCACATCATCTGGAATGCTTAAATTGTGAGAGTCCTTGTTGGTGATAACGGGTCATCTGCCCTTAATTTCTGCATAGTACAAGCTTCTATGTGTAGGCTACAGCTTAAGTAGGAACCAACAGCACAGCTACAAAGTATTTCAGGAGAATTCAAACAGTCTGAGGCCATGTATTTTGGTCCAGAGTATTATAACACATCTTATTACACTACTTTAAGTGCATATATTAGCTGAAATTAGTCTTATCACAGTCGGTGATTGGCATTTATTAAGTGCACTTTAAAGTTTTACGAGACAGTATTTGTTTCATAATATCGTGTGGAATGAGTAGCATTGAGTACTAGTGACCGGTACGTGCTGACAGGGCCGGCCCAAGGACTAGGCAGCTATGTTGCTTGCCTAGGGCCCCAAACTTTAGAGGGCCACCCCTGCGTGCTGATGATGGAAAAGAAAGTATGCCAAATTGTGGCATAGAAACTCAGAATCACTTGGCAACATAGGATTATGTAAATAAAGCAGGGTCTCTTAACCAATCAGAAAAGCTACAAAACTTGGAAAAGCAATCAGGGGTTGAAAAGAGAAATATGTTTGGTGATTCTGGATACTTAAATTGCTAATTGTTAAATGGATTGGTGAGAGATGTTTGCACATCCACATGTGAACTATTTCTTATATTAGGTAGCTTATTTTCCCCTTTGATTAACAGAAGGTGTTTAGCTGGTGTTTTGTGCTACAGGAAATCCTGCAAATGATCTCGTTGACATTATCAACAAAAACCGGACAGCTCAAAAGCTTCCTCAGCTAAACAATAGTCCTGGTCTTGGGTGTATTGCCTTGCAGTATGTAGAGGAATGCAAGGGGAACTGCACTAGCAACAATACTGTCAATTGTCAGCCTCCAGAAGATGACTTCACAGAAGTTTTTGCTCCCAATTGTGGCGTGGAGCTGCCCACTTTTGGCACCATATCTGGCTATATTGTGGGGTGTCAACATAAGTATCTTGAACCATCGGAAGCCTTCTCGCACGTGCTTGTTCACAACCAGAAAAGCCATTCTCTTGTGACAAACAGAACACATACTGAAGTGGGTGTGGGCATTATTGGGAGCCATAAGCATAAAGGACCTTACTTTTGGTGTGTTTTATTCAGTAACAGCCAGAAAAATACTACATTTGTTCTTGAAGACCTTGGTGTGGGGATCAAGCAAAAGAAAGGGTGCTATAGTGGAACCAGTATTCCATGCAGCAGGGGACACAAGAATACAGGTGTGTTTTTCAACAACATTTGGACCATAGTTTTTGCTATATATCTGTTAATTACAACAATTGTACCTCAGTCCATCCTTAAACATATGAACACTCTACCATGCTCTTGAAGATTTTGTCACATTTTAGCAAGATAGTAATCTGTAAACACCTTCAAAATGCAAATTTTGGGTGATTTTTCCTTATCCTTGATTTCATTTCCGTTTTTTATTTTGGCAACATTAAATGGTTTTGAAGTTCTGTTGTGGAATAGACATGAGACACAAGATTTTGATGCGTACTGTGCAGTTTATCAGAATTTGATCTATCTTCTCTTTTCCTTTCCATTCTTTTCGTTCCCACCTCTACTATCTCATACTACTTGCGAAAGCAGCCCCTAGACATGCGGGGGTAAGTCTGCATATATTTGAGGTGAGGGAGTGGCCCAGTGATAAGGGCTTATTCCCGCGTGCAAGTGATTGCGGGTTCAAACCTCGTTCCCCTTCACCCTCCCGGTCCCGCCCCCCAATGATCAAACGGGAATGAGGCCAGCAGCAGGTAAAATTTTGCATAAGCTTTCCTTACTTGAGATTGAAAATCCATACTTTAGAATGCCTGACAATGTGTAGAACAGGGGGCACAATCTAAATGATGAATCTTTTGAAATCCTCTTTTTTTTTTTTTTTTGTTTAACGGTTACGGTTGTTCAAGTTAGTTTATGCGCATCTCGATTAATCTTCATTCTGGTTCGATCAATGGCAAGTCATCTTTGCCGGATTGACTCCAAAAAATTGTTAAGATTTGAACATAGAACGTTTGAGTTTATAGGTCGTCCTTATTACCATTTTTAACCTATTAATTCAACCAAGTGACCAACTTGAACCAAATGGTTTCAACTGGGCTGATATTGGCACTCTCTGCAGTATAGGTCTTCACCATATCACCTAAAAATTTCTTGAAGTGAAAAGAAGAGTACTGCAATATTTTTCTTCATGCTTAGGGCCAAACCTAGCGGTTTGTTTGTTTAGTGGGAAAATGGTAAAAAATGCAAGAAAGAGAATTTTTTAAAAAATTTCATGTGTTTGGTTAGCATGAAAAGGAAAATGATAGTAAAAATAATTTTTTTATATACTTGAATTTTTTTTACAACAAATCAATTTTTTTTTCTTGTAAAAAACACAAAAAAATTCAAGAAAATTGTGATTTATAACTAATTTTTTATTTTACCTTTATTTTTTTTAAATATTTTATTAATTATTAATTTTAAAAAATTTGGTATGAATTTGTTTAATCATATAACCATATGGTGAGTGTCGATAATCAAGTTGAGCCTGTCATACTTAAAAATTTATTCAAGTTTGACTTAATTTTTGAACTTGAGCCAAGCCTTTAGGCTTATTTTTTTACACGAGCTTAAAAAATTATTCAAATTTAACTCGTTTAAAAAATGAACCGAATCCAAAACAAACCAAACCGACCCGACTATAAAGCTTGATTATGAGCCCTAGATGTGGTTCAGCCAAATCATACTTCAAGAAGAAGAAATTACAAGATCAATCCCCAAAATTTTCAAGAATTCGTCTCCCCTTTTCACAAAATTAGGTTTAAATAGCATTTCTCTTTTTAAAAGCTAAAATGTTTAACTACATGAAATGAGTTGTTCATTTATCATGTGAATTAGCTCGTTTTAAAGCTTGTGTATTAAACAAGGCAAACCTGAGAAATAATTCATTTGGCTTGTGAATATATGCAAAAAGAGTCGATCTTGATCTTGAATATGAGTCTGAAATCAAAGTTAACCTCGAGTCCAATTAGTCTAAAGGTAAAATTATTGTTTTTGAAGTTAAGTTACACATTTTAAAAGTGAAATTACAACTAATCAAGGATTATTCATGATTGATCATTGAATTATCTCAAACAGTTGTAACTTTATCTTTAAAAATGAATAACTTGACCACAAAAAAATAGTAACTTTCGATAGAATATCGAAAAATTACCCTTAATTAAACTATAATCAACAATTCCTATAAGACATACACTTTAACCCAGAAAACAAAAAAGCCAACATAGGGGAATCCATAATGATATGTGGTCAGTCTAGATTTCACAAAAAAAAAAAGTAGGTGGAAGAATTTCTCCTTTAGTTGAATAAAAACAGCTTCTTAGCTCATAAAAATGCAAATGGATGATGCTTGAAGAGCACGAAAAAACTCACTAGTACAGACAATTTGTATGACTTCGTGCTTTATGCTATGGGATCAAAACTAACTTTCAATGCCTCATCTGCCTTTTTCTGTTACACATTAAAACAAAACCATGAATCTCATGGCTCCAGCTAGTGGTTTTTTTGAATAGGAATCCTTTTCTCTATCCTCAACCAAGTCATGATGAAAGTAGTAGAGAGTGGATCAGGACACCAATTCTTTAATCAGTAACATGTTTGTCAATCATACTTTATTAGGGTCAATAATTCTTTGTATTATGATCTACAAACTCGACATGAAATTATTAGATATGAATCTAAGTTAATAAGTTTGGTTATAATTAACTAATAAGTTGATAGATTAGTGAGACGCAGGCTCAAATAATAAAATGAATCAACATGAACTTTAGTCATGCACGTTTTCTACATAATATGAACCCGATATGGTGCATTATTAACAAGTAATAAACCCGGTAAGATATGATTTATTGTATGCCCTATACTTTACTCAATTTTACCCCAAGAAAGAATGGAAAATTGGGTCATAAAAATGTCAAACTTGTAAAGATGTAGAGACATCCAACACGACAAAGGATCCATGTTTGTAGGAGATTTTGGATGTTGGTTAATGGTTTGCTTCTGGACCACAAATGGATGACCTAAACAAATGCCACTAAAGAATAACGTCACATGCTAGCAAAACCGGGTTGGTCGGAAGGGAATGTCAAAATTCTATTTTTATGAGACAAAGAAATTGCAAATAGGAACAACGTATTGTGTTTACCTGTTTTTTTGTTTACTCCGAGGGTTTGTGTTAATAACATATCAGCTTCACTACCCGACAAAGCAGAGGTAAAGAGACAGAATACGAGTAGTATAAGATCAACATTTTTTTTGTTTTTTGTTTACTCGGAGTTTGTGTATGTAGTGTGTTAGCTTCACAACCCTATAAACAATGGATAAGAAGACGGAATACGAGCACAAAATGATATAGTTACAATAATATAAGAAAATTTTAAAATAAATCAAGATACAATTATTATAATTAACTATATTTTTAGTATGTTCATTAATAGATGATAGAAATCTAACAAATTAATGATTCTTACTTTCAAAAAAGTATGAACTTTGTTACCATTTGAACCTTGTACCTAAGAACAAAACTTTAATGGGAAGAAATCATTAAGGTCTCAGCATAATTAGGAAAATATCAAACATGGTACCATAACACTTCAATAATATCTATATTAGGAAAAAAAATTATTACCCTTATTTGAAAACTATTGTATATAAAGCAGGCAGAATGTGCATTCAATTTAGGTGAACAAACTGAGGTATACACTGATTTTTTTTTGGTGCAACAATAAAAGTGTTCAGGTCAACTTACGTGCATTTCGACTAATTTTCTCTCCGATTCGATAAAAAATAGAGCATCTACGTGAGAATTAGAGACTCCAAGAAATTGTTAAGACTCAATCTTAATTTAAGCTATTGTGTGCTTTTTCTAAGTGATCATGTTACCAAAAATATGGACTACCAACAAGTGCACCAAAATCCACTTGTAAGATTGGGTATCCAACTAAATCACATTCACAGATTGTGTCACTCAACAAATCTTAAAAACCCAACTAATTCATGGCCAAAATAGATCTTCCAACCAGTCATTAAGGCAAGATTGGTGCTTAGTTTGGGAAAAAAAAAAAAGGGAGTATATTCAACACTCCATTATTTGCTACTTCCACTCAAAAGAGATCTCCATACATGGAGTGGAAGCAGCAAAATATGGAGTTCTCTGAGAAAAAAAATATAGGATATGAAGTTTCAGAAATTGCACTAACTTTACAAAGAATTTAGGCGTCATACCCCTGATAGCCATCGAAACAATTCGCTGATCTCTTCTCCAATTCTGTTGGCCTCCAAGTCCTCAACGGGAACAACGGTATCGCTGCGGCGACTGCTTCCGGTGAAGAACCTCCCGGAGCTCCCAAAAGACATCGTACGGGAAGAGAGAGAAACGAATGGTAATCTATCGACGTAATCTCTCAGCCAACTCCGTCCGCCGGAGACTTCACCTGCTACGCCTTCTCCCGGTGGCTCGGGCACTGGAGCTCCGATGGATTCCTTGTCAACGGAAGTACAATCGGACAATCCTCTATGGTGTCTTGTGGAACCCACGGCCACCTCGTGTCCGTCTTCGACAATGTACTCAAAAGAACCAATGGAATAGGATCTTCTTCCGTCTACAGACTCTGGCGTGCCTCGCCGACGACTGACACTTCCGATCTCGATCCGGAAACTACTGCTATTACCACTACCGCGATTTTCTGCTTCTGATTGCACAAGAACTTTATTCAGTACGTCTGATTCCGTAGGATGAACTGTGGACCTGCAAAGCGGACACGTCTGATTGGACGAAATCCACGTGTCGATGCAATGAGCATGGAACGCGTGGCAACACAGAGGGAGTAATCGGAGCTGGTCTTGTGGCTCAAACTTGGAGAGACAAACGGCGCAATCAACTCCGGTGAGGTTTCCGGTGACGGAACCAAAAGTGAAGAGAGGAAGAGCGTCCAACAACTCGTTTGACGACACGTGCTGGTCGTTGACGCAGTGGTGCATATTCGAAACGACGTCGTCGGCTGTGGAGAAAGTTCGGAAGGAGCGGTGGAACCGGCGGGAGAAAAACCGGAGGAGGAGGTATATTGAAGCGGAGACGATTATTGCCGAGGCGATTACTATCACGACGATCATGATTGATGTTGAGGAGGAGGAGGAGGAGGAGGAGGATGATTGTCGTGCGTAACCGCCATTGTTGTAGAGTTGAGGTTCAGTGACTACTGAGTTTGTCGTCGTCGTCGTCGTGGCACCGCCTTCAATGGTGAGAACTGGTGGTGGCGCGTAGAAACGAGGCATTGTGTGAGTGTAGTTGAGTTCCGAGGGTTGTTTAGTGAGAGAAATGGTTGCCCCTGTGATTAGGTCATTTGGGGAGAGAGTTGAAAAAAAGAGAGCGAGAGAGAGAGAGAGGGGGCGCTACGTATTTATGAGGTCACCGGTGAGGAAGCGTTTAATACGTCTGAGTTTTGATAGGCACGTGCCTAGCACTTGTGGAGTGGAGAGGAAGTGCCATTTGTGTAAGGTTGAGCTTGGTGTCATTACTAATAAATAATTTGTGGTGATTTTTCAATTTATTTATTTATAAAAATTGATTATAAAATAATAAATAGAGTAACAAAATTTTATGCGTGTCACATTTTTATTAATTAAAAAATAATAATTATAATAATAGTACTAAAAGATAAGTTTTGGTGTGATAATTAGGGAAATAAAATTTATAATAACAGGATAAAAAATCAAACTAGTACTAAATAAAGAAATTGAATATTAAATAGTTTAGATCAATTAATTATATCAACAAATTAATTTCAAACAAGAATTAAATAGTTATGTTGAGGGGATCCAACCCATTCAAGTCTAACTATAAATGATAATTAATCGGGTTAAGGTTCATAATAAATTTTTTTAAGGGGATTAATTTAGAAATACATTAATATATATATATATATATATATATATTAAAAAAATGAATAGTGGCAGCCACAGGTGTACGGATGGTTTGAGAAGGTGGTGAAGTTGGTTTTGTGTGTGTGTGAGAGTGAGAGAGAGAGAGGTGGTGGGTGGTGGTGGGTGCGTGGAGGCAGAAAAAGAAAGAAGGTACGGTACAAGGGAATTGAATGAGAATGAATGAAGGCAGAAGGCTGAGGGCAGAGGGTGGTTTAAAGAGGTGGAGCACTGGAGCAGTATGGTGCAGAGCGGTGTCGACCCATACTATTATTAACTTGTTTTGGAATTTTAGCTAATAGCCTTTTGGTGGGTCCCATTCAACAATTTTTTCCAAAAATAAAATATTCCTTACAATATTTTAGGTATACTAATTTTAAATATAAAAATAAAACTTATTAATTACCAATGTTTTCCCAGTATTTTTGGTCTTTTTCCATATATTCGATCATTTTGGGGAACTAGCCACTACAACATAAAGATAACAGAATCAATGATCATCTCTTGAATAGCGAAAAATAAAAAAGTCAAAAGTGTATTAATAGACGAAATAGACTATTATGATTTATGCCGTGTTTACATGGGAAGTGGCACAACACAAAATAGAAATTTCTTGTTTTTTTTTTTTTGGAAAGTAAAATAATCGAATATATGGAAGTGACACAGCACTAAATTCTAACCTTACTTAAATGGACCTTATTTTGACTGTTTTCTTTATAAATGGAGACGATAAACTCAAAATTTGTAGTGCGATTTGGAAAAATACTTTGTTGCATACATTTCCTTTCAGTTATATTTACTCTTTTTTTTTTTTTTTTTTTTTGTGAAACGACTATTCTTCTTGTCACATGAATAAATCATGTCAAACTCGTCTCGTACCAACTATTGTGTGATTACCGAGTTTAACTCATATGTAGCTTATATGAAATTTATTACGAGTAACACGTGCCTTAAAATGTAGTACAATGTTAATAGTTTTTAAATGAATATTAGCAGTCGTTAGATAAATTTATTTGAAACCGTTAAATGAACTTATTGAAACATATCATATTTTATATTATAAATAATTAAATTCGTATTGTCTAAACCTTTTAAATTATATATAGCCAAATTTATGGTAAAGTGATTATTAAACCAATTTGACAAGTTCACCTAATTACGTTCTGAATCTATCAAAATTATAATTACAATCCACAATTTTTATTTCGATTTTATATTAGATTGACCAATCGTGATAAAAAATAGTCATTCCTCTTTCTCCTTCTTCCTTTCCTCCTAGAAGTAACCTACAACATGATGCCACAAGGGTACACATTAAACATGTAGCCAGGCTAGATAACTATACTGCTTGACTAAACACAACTTTAACCTTTTGGATGGTTCAATGACTGAGTCTAACATCTGATTGAACTAGAAGTCTCACGTTCAATATTTTTTTATATCCCTTAAAAGTTAGTCACAATTGTTCTTCATAAGATATGTTCTAAATCTGCTCAGACTATGGTGACTAATATCCGAACTTAATGAAATAGTCGAAAAATGATAATAAACAACAACTCTTTGCAATCTATTTCCCACATGAACAACACTATTTGACTTGTTTGGTCACTTTAGCTTTGTTAAAAGAAACTAGAGAAATAAAAGACCAAACCCCAGCATTCTAAAGCTGGATTCTACACCGACACCAAACAAAGCCTAGATTCTTTGCCTAAAGCTTCAGTTTGCTCCTCTTCCCATTTAATTTACGACGTCACCAACTATGTTGTTGTCGGTTATTTAATGAAGTCTGCAAGAATCCATTTTCCACAAAACTAAAAAAATCCCATTTAGGGTTTTCTTTTTTGAATATCCGGTAGAGATTTATTTTGGTAATTGTTCGGAGGTTTGTGCAATATGAGAGGACTAGATGTGTCTGAAAAGACTAGTCAAATGTTTTTAAAAGACTTAAGAGCACGAGTCTCTTGATACTACTAATCTAGAAAGGTTCAGATGTATATAATTTTATTCCTATATCCAAAGAAATTATTTTTGTAAACACCAATATCATTGCGGAAAAAACATTCTCATTCTGCCAAAAATTACCCTTAATGTAGTCTAATGCATAAGTATACCGTCGGTGTGAAGTTTGGGAAAAGTGATAAATTGATGAAGAGACCTATTTTCATGGATTGGCATCACTACTTACTAGGACTAACACAAGCATTGCAAATTAGTTGGATACACATTTGCATAGGTTTACATATGCTAAACAAGTAGAGAGTCCTCTAAGTATCATTATGTGTTGCATTTTACCACCACTTTTTTTTTTTATGTTTTGCAATAAACAAGTTCTTTAATGCATTGTACAAATAAGAACATTATTATGTGTACTCCACAACAAGGATGATTTTAATGAGAAGAAACACTAAATTTAATGTTAACCTAATTGGATGGCTCATGATGACTAGAACAAAAGTTTTTTTTTTTTTTCTTTTCCTTTTCCTAAGGTCTTTTTGAGGCCAGCTCTTGCTAGGGATGGTAGGTAAGTGAATTAATGAAATTAAACACCCACTGTCATCGCAATGCTTTCTTAACTACGTGGAGCATAATTGAGCCCTAGATTGGTGCCAATTCAAACTTATGATCTCCTTGGCATTGTCCAAACATAATTAGGGAAAAAGGAGACTCCCAAAATTCTTAGCTCGAATTTGATTTGTTTAATCCACAACAAATTGAACTATGTATTTTAACTAACCTCGACTTGTTCTATGGGTAACTTTTAGCACAACATGACCATGCTTTAACTTGGACATTAAATTTGTGGGTTAAGATTGATTATTTTTTTATGGAAACCCAAACTTGACAAAATCTACTAAAACAAATAGTAAAAAGGGTTGGTCAAACATGAATAACCTGATTTTGACACAATAAACCCCCTAACATAATGTCGTACGAAGAAACTATCTAAATATTTTTTGTATTTTCTATTGTTTGATATGGGTTGGTTAAGAAAAAAAAAAGGTTTAATCCTAAGTTTTTGGTTCATGGGTTATGTTTGTCCACTCAAACTCCGCGAGATTAACAAATAGGTTACAATAGAATCACAACATTAGACACAATTAGCTAAACAAATTGACTAGTATTCGACATAAATTTAAAAACACAATATACTTATACTCCGTTTGGTACGATGAAAAAATGAAATGAGGAAAAAATAGAATGATGGAAAGTTGGAGGGATAGATAAAACATCATGTTTAGTAAAAAAGGAAAGTAGGAAGGATGGAAAAGTTGATGGATTAACTTTCCTCCCAACTTACCAAATTCAATCCCTCTAAAATCGAAAGGAAAGTGGATGAAAAGTTAATTATTTGTGTTGACGTGTATCTTATTTGTCTATATATGTTATGTATACATTAATTTCATTGAAAAATATAATGATAAAATATGTATTTATATATATTTAAAAATATAAAAAATTAAATTAAAAAAAAATTTCATCTTAATTAGGTGTGAAAATTTTCAACTCAACACGATGACACGACTAAAACTTAACACAAATTTTACGAACTTGATTATAATTCGACACGAACTTGAAAATGACCAGACACGCGAACAAGAAATATAAAAGGCTCATAATTTTATGACTCAACACGAATCTGACACGACACGACTTGATTGTCAACCATAATCTTAACCATCACAAAAAAAAAAAATTAATCATTTTTATTTTTCATCCATTCAACCAAACACAAAGGAAAAAAAGTGTTTCATTCTTAATTTTCATCCTTAAATGCTAGAAAGTGTATCCCTCCTATTTACCATCATTCATATTTTTTATCTTTCTTATCAAACGGAGCAATAAACATAAGTGACATACCTAATAATCAGATCTTTGGTTAGAGACTAGATTTCCTTTTGATTTAATTTTGGTTTGTTTTTTTTTTTTTGGGGGGTGGGGGGGGGGGGGGGGAGGTTTGTTCTGTGTGAAGAAATCAACAAAATCTCAACTCCTTGGAAGATATCATCAACATGTGCACCGCAAGTAATTCATTTCAAAAACCTAATTGTTCAATAAGTTTTTGACATTTATTATTAAATGGTACGACAGCAGAATGATGATGATGTCCAGATGGTACATTCACATAGACAGGTAACATTATGGTGTACATTATTAATATAGAATAGTGAAGACCCATGAGGTGCGGCAATAGCATGATGTAAGTCAGAACCCCATAGCTCCCACATTATCTTCTCACATCATCATGTATTATATGTAGTTATTACACAACCCATCTCATCACCGTCTTCAACGTCGATGATGCTATTATAGGTACATTATTCCACTATTACCTCTTGGGGGTGAGGTTATTATGA